TGGAAGTCCAGACCCACTCACCACTCCACCGGTTTAAGAAGAAGCTGCCTGCTCCCATGAAGAATCAGGTCCTCTGAAACCGTATCCAAGGTTGCTATCTGTTGGACTCCAGTGGATGGCAATGAGTTCAGTTTGGGGGTTAATAACTTTTATGAATCCTAGCACTGCTAAGTAGGCAGTGATATTGTGTACCAAACATTAGGTCATAGTGCAGAGTCGGTTTAAATTTACCTGAGGGAGCCAGAGATGATGCTACTGATGAGATATTTGAAATGGCTTTGAGGGATAAGCAAGAGCTCATCTCTCTACTTCCACGTGGCCGTACTCTATTACATTCAATCACTGAATATTGCATCCTTACTTTCCCACAAGACCACAATCTCTGCTGTCTTCTTCAAGTCGGACTTTGCCTGGTGTGCCCTGCCTTCATCTTCCCACTTCCTACTCAAATGCCCACGTCAAGATTTTCCTCCTGCATAAAACCCAAGAAGACTTCCCACGTTATCCACACTATTGCAGAACAAGGTGGCAGAGGAAAGCCTAGGGACCACAGTGGAATTCAAAATGCTCAGGAATAGCTTCCCAGAGGAAGGGGCTGCTTGTGTGTGGCAGCAGTTTCCTAGTTTGGGAGTCAGGGATTAATTAGCTTCCCAGCTCTAGCACATTATTTAGCTTCTGTTTTCTTCAGTAGCCGTACCTATAAAATAAAAGCACAGTCATGTTATCCTCCTCATAATATGACTCTCAATGCTGAGGAAGGAACGTGTTCTCTTTGTTAAATGTTCAGTAGGATTTCCACACATACTCTTAAAGAAACCCTTTCTAAAACTTTCATCTGTAACATAGGAGAAAAAACTATTATTCAATTATAGTAGTCTTCAAGGTTTCTTGTAGTGCCACTATTCCTCACTGGCATTGAGTCAATTCTGACTTCTAGCATTCTTAAAGGTCAGGGTCGAAATGCCTCTGTGGGTTTCTGAGACTAAGATCCTCTATGGGAGTAGAAAGTTGGTTTCAAATTGCTGACCTTGCAGTTAGCAGCCCAATATCAGATCATTTCTACCCTGGATTTAGAAAATTGAATTGGTCAGAGGGCTAATGTAATAGTCTGCTGTCAGGTTAGTCTGCTACTTCTTTGTTCACTTCCATTGATTCTAGAAAATTCACTGTGGTTCTCTCTCTGGACGGCTCATTCCACAGCAGAAAGGAAAGAGAGGAAAGTTCCTAAATATTAAAATGAAAGGCAAACCTGCCTAAACAGAACAACATACACGAGTTAAGGAACTCATTAAGTCAAATGAATCGCTGAAAGACCCCTCGTAAGTTATTTTAGCTACTATAAATTATTGATTAAAATGTTTCTTGGTGTTATAAATAGAAAGCACATTATGAAATAATGTATGAGCATATGAACTGTTAGCAGCTATTCACAAAAACTGGAAAAGTATTTTATAGCTTCTGTTCATTTTCACTTTGTGTCAAATTCAACATGCTACCTTATTAGTCAACAGCAAAAAACCAACTCTGACTACATTTAAGCAAAACGTTAATTAGCTGGAAGGGAAGTAGGTTATCACACAGAGTCCAAGGGAAGTAATGGAGAAGAGGTACCGCCCGATCAACTCCAGGAATCTCAACAATGGGACTTTGTAGACCTTCTCATCATATAACTTATTTAAGTCTGACTTTGATTCTTCTGGCTTCTCTCTCCTGTCTCCTCTTTTCCAAATTTTAAATTTCTGGAACAGAGAATCTGTTGGGAAAATATTGGAACCTAGGAAGCCACCTCACAGGGCGTCTATTTGCTGCACAGGCTTTATTCTGCTGTGGCTGTTAACACGCCATTAGCGATATTTATGTTGCTTTGGGCACTGATGTGTAATCGTTGGTTAACAACAGGTGAGCGGTTTAAACCCACCCGTTGCTCTTTGGGAGAAAGAGAAGGATATCTGCCATGGTAAAGATGTACAACGTCTAGAAGCTCGATAAAGGGTTGCTCTTAGTGAGAATCCGTGCGATGGCAGCGGTAGTTTGGATATAGTGTAGTGGGTTACATGTTAGGATGCTAACCACAAGATCAGCAGTTTGAACCCACCAGTCACTACACTGGAGAAAGAAAAGGCTTTCTGCTCCTGTAGTAAAATTCTATATGAGTCACTATGAGTCAGCATTGACTTGATGTTGTTGTTAGCTGCCTTCCGGTCAGTCCCAACTCACAGCGACCTTATAACAAAACACTGACCGGTCCTGTGCCATTCTCCCATTTGTTCTCATGTTGAAGCCCATCAAAGGCAGCCGCTGCTGTGTCGATCTGTCTTGTGGAAGGACAGCTTCTTTATCCCTTCCCCTCGACTTTACCAAGCGTGGGGTCTATCTCTATGGATGGTTCTTTCCTGACGGCATGTACGACATGAGTTAATAGCAGTGGATTATATATAATTGGGTTTTTTGCTTGTTTTGGGTTGGCTCAAAATGCTTTTCCATAGGATTAACATTTTATATCATACTAAAACAATAAAAATGGGCAGGAAAGAAGTCTGTAGGAGGTGTAGTGGTTCCCCATTGGGCTCCTAACTTTAAGGTCAGCAGTTCAAAACCACCAGCTGCTCCCAGGGAAACAGGGAAATGATAAGCTTTTCTACTGCTGTAGAGTTACAGTCTCAGAAACTCAGGGCCACAGAATCAGGTCTGAATCATGGGGGCCCTACAGGAAAGAGAAGAACTCACCTACGGTCCACAGTTCGAAACCACAAGCTCCTCTGAGGGAGAAAGATGAAGCTTTCCAAGGTCTCACAAATCCACGGGGACAGTTCTAATCTGTCCTATAGGGTTGCCCTGAGTCAGACTGGGCTCAATGGCAGTGAGTTTGGGTTTTGTTGTTGTTACTCTCGTAGTGAAAAAGCATCTGTTTATTTTGACGATACATAAAGATCCATGAGCTGAACTAAAATAAAGCATTCCAAGGATGCCAAATATGTTTTATGACTCTACCCACACACAGAATATTTTCCTGTTTTCTCAAGGCTGTTAGTTGATTTCCTGAAACCAAGATCTAGACATTTATCAATACCAGATGATATTATGAAAGGTAAAGAAAATACAAGGGGCTTCAAAAAGGTGGGGGAAAGGAAATCATTCCCTTTTAATTCTAATTTTCCACTACCTTTTTGAATCACCCTGAGATGTAGTATAGATATTCTTGTATTATTTACAAAAATATGTGAAGGACATTCTCCTTGAACAATTTCAGTGATCTTTTTTTTTCTAAGTCTTTATCTTCCTAACTGTGGATTTTTTGGGTGTTTCATTTTCCTTGACTTCATAACTATCAAACTATCAGGTTTACCTCATTACAGGTCTCTTTGCTCCCACCTGCAGCACTACCAGTATCCCTGAAGTAAGGGAGAGATTCCAAGGCTCACTTTTCTTTTCTCCGCTTTTCTCCATATACCGTAATTCACTTACAGAACTCACAAATTTAATTACCCCCTCAAGGCTAATGGGTGCCAAGTCTATTCTGATAACTAGCTGGTAGTCCAATATTGCCATACAAGTTTATTGTATCTTATTCTCACTGGAAGCACAATATCTTTCAAATTAAAATTGTGTTACAAAATCACAAAACAGATTATATTTGCTATGCTCTTTTTGAGATTATTTTTAATTTTCCCTAGTCTTGTGGGTCTACATACTCCAAAGCCTCAGAAATCATTGAACAATCTTTCAATCAAGTCCCACAGGTGTCAATTAAGTCTACATGGAAGAAGCACACAGGCCTGTGCAATCTAAAGATTATAAATAATAAAATCCAAATCCAGAGGAGGCAACAGTATCAGGGCTTCAGTTCTGACTACCTGGTTGGCAGAAGGTTATGGATGACAGTGGAAGCACAAAGTTCGTGGATTACGCCTCCACTGAATTTCCTCTGCCCATAGTCCAAGAATGTGAATAACCTTGCTATCATCATACAGAAAGCATTTGTAAAGTCAATTATTCCAGATGTAGTTAGGTTAAAATGTAACACCTTATCATTTGATCTCTCTTTTGACCCATTTTAAAGTCGTCTCTGTTTTTATTGTGGTTTTTCTCTGTTTTATTCTGTAGTTGTTGTTTTGTGGGTTTGCTTTTGTGGTGATGATTGCAAACTCTTCTTAATACTATTGAATTATTAAATTGCATATCAGAATCGTATCGTTTTCTTGTGCATAGGGTCGCTGTGACTCTATGGCACCTTATAACAACAACAACATATGTGAATTATATGCATATAAAAATATTAAAATAAATATAAAATAAACAAAATCACATCATTCTAATGATAAACAGGCCTGTAAACTGATCTGAAACTTTGTATTTAACTATCAAAAGGCAACTGTCCTGATAATCTCCCTGGTCTTCTGAGGTGTTGACTGAACAAGGCTAACATTATCCAGTATAGCAACCTAGGGGTTAAACACCAAGAAAGAATTTGAGGGGTTCTTTGCCAATGAGGACTTCTAAATTATATGGGGCAAGTAGGATATAAATCAGTGTTCTAGGTTCCCACTCTTCCAGTCAATCGCGTTCCTTTAACGCGTTGCTAATTTTGGAAAACCATCTACAGTCTATTAAACACCACCCCAAACCGATAGTGACTACAATTCCCATGATGCAACGCACGAACCCAAACAGAGGTAGGCTGTAGACTCCTGGGCAGGGGAACCTCGGATCACTCCTTTAACAAACTAGGTATTGCAGCCTCCACTCCTCAGCAGCTTGCTTTGTAAAACAAAGCCAGCGCGGAGGAGGTGGGATTCTTACAAGAATAGGTTCCGCCAGTAGGTAGAAGCCCTAGCCGCCCGACTCCGGCTGCCGCTCAGGGGAGGCGCCTGGTGCCGACGTCACTTCCGGGAGAGGCGCCCAGACCCGCCCCCTCGCTGCGCTCGCGGGCACCCAGGCCCGGCTGTCGGGGCTGGGCGGGCGGCACGTTTGTTTTTTTTGCACAGGGGATCACGTGAAGCCTCTCGGTGGTGAGGGTGGAGGCGAAAGCCGGGATTCGGGAGGGTGCGGCTGAACCGTCACCGAAGGACTGCGGAGTGAGCGGAGGTAGGAACCGGGCGGGAGACACCTGTGCGGAGGGGCTCCCGGACACCCCCGGGTCACGGACGACCCCTCTCAGAGTGTGGGGAGGGTCCGCCCCGTAGCAGCACGCGGAGGGAAGTGTCCCGAGGTCCCGGGAGGCACAGACGCGCCTCAGACGCAGGCACAGACGCCCGGCGTGCAGCCGCCCTGGGGTTCGCCACCCTCCGCCCGCTCCCGCTTTTCTCGCGCCGCTGGGTGGCCGAGGGCCTGCGCAGGTCGCCAGGGTGAAACTCGGACGACCCTCCTCCGAGCGTGCCCAGCCGCGGCCAAAGTCAAAGCTGGGACGGCCTCTCTGCCCTGGGTGAGTGTGCAAGCCCGCCCTCCCGGTGCCCCAGTCGTCTAGTGGCAAAGGGCAGACCGATCAGCAGCCTGGAGAAGGGTGAGGACGTTTCCGACGTTGTCTTTACATCTTTTGCCGGGGAGGCCCGTCAGGCGGGTCGCTAATCAGCAGCGTGAGTGTTTTGGATCTTGGATGACGAGGGAGGTTGCCCAATTCACGTGCTAGGTTAAAAGTCGGTTTTCCGCATCTTTCCCGGTTCCGGGGTCCCATTCGATTCCTACCTCTACCGCCAGTGTCGTTGCACAGCTAGGGTTGGGGAGGCAGACTTGTTGGTATCTGAAGTGTTGTCATTTCATGAGACTCCAGTTATTACAATTTCTCCATTACTTTTTAACAACCTGGACAAGAACCTCAGCCGCCCAGACTCTAGACTAAGGGAGACTAAGTTTGCGTGTAATTTTTCTATTGAGTAGGCTGATAAAGCTTTGCTTTTGTATTATTATGAAATTATTCCATAAAAGATTTACTAATCTTTGACAAAAGAGTATGAGTTCGAAATATTGAGTTCCCCAGGTGATGGCAAAGGAGAGCTCTGAAGAATATTTAAGTCCTGATGAATCTTTAATAACATTTAATCTTGCTGAATAATGGTTTAGTGTTCATTAGGCCTCATTTGACTAATTTCATTAAAGTTTTTTGGGAATTTTTCCCCTAAACATATTTGATCTTGGATTCTACAAAATGTTAAAGAACAGTTGCTATTTACCATGTGGGAGCTGAGCTTCTGGCTCATGTATTACTGTGAATACGTCTCTTGAGTTTTCACTAATTCAAACAAAAGGTGATGCCCCAAACCCACTGCCTTTCAATGAATTCTGACTCATAGCAATCCTATACAGATTTCATCTGGTGACCTCTGCCCTAGAGAATTCTCACTCTTTGATATACACCATGTCAAAACCGAAGTTTAGGCAACCTCAAGAGACTTAAATTATATTCCTTATAACTGCTCTCTGAGTTTAGGAAACAAAAATAAGTCTGGAGGGGCAAGAGTAGAGCTGTAGGGTGAAAGCAATGTTTCCCAACAACGTTCTCGTGATATCCTTTGCTACCCTTGATCAATGAACTGGTGTGTTGTCATGATGGAAAAGAATTCCTCAGAACTATATTCCTGAACTTCTTCTCACAAGTGAAGTTTTCAGCGTTCTTAAAATTTTTTAGTACGTCCCCATGATCTTCCTCATTTGATAGATCATTATCACCCTTTTAGAATGCCAAGAAAGAGTCCCCAGAACCTTCTGTATTGACCTCTCTGCCTTGTGTTTAGCTGTCCCATCAGATCTCTGATTGGACCTTTTTTGAAGGCATCCAAAGGAGAATAAGGCGTGTGTGTTACTGAGATATTGAGAGAGATTCCTTGCAGCCATCCACTGATCAGATATGTTTAAATGCACTTGGGGGATGAACTCATGCCTGTATGAACTGGAACCCTAGTAAAAATATATATTTACTTCTTTGTGTATAGACAAACATCAGAGAAACCTTTCACGAGAAAATTAAGTAGAACAAAATAATAATAACATATGACACAAGAGCCATAAAAAGGGGTGTGTAGTAAGTAGTTCTTGTCTCTTTACTAAGAAAATAGGAGACCTTAGAGTTGGATTTGAGATTAAAGGGTGATTGACATTTGTCCGTTCCAAAATGAATGAAAGTTACACAAAACTAAAAATATAGTTAATGAATATTTTATTTTATTTTTGGATCATGCTCCAGGTTAAAGATTAATTTTTCATTATGTCCCTCTCAGTTCTAGATAGTGAATTCCTAAGAAGAAAATAATGGATTGCATATTAGTTGTTCTCTGAGTGCCTGGACCAACCGTGTGTGGGCCTTTGTTGCAAAGGCCGAAAGAAGATGGCAACTCCTTATGTCCCAGTTCCTATGCCCATAAGAAACTCTGCCTCCAGTTTTACAACCAACAGAAACCAAAGGAGTTCATCATTTGGGAGTATCTCAACAAGCTCAAACTCTTCCAAAGGCCAGTTGGAAGACTCAAATATGGGTAATTATAAACAGACAAGTGTGACTGATCAAATGGATAGTACTTCATCTGTCTGTTGCAGTCCCCTCCTTAGGACTCAATTGACAGGTACAGAGTCTTCCATTGAGTATTCTACTAGACCAAGAGAAGGTGAAGAACAAGATCCTGAGACAGTCAGTTGGGAAGATAGACCATCTACACCAACTATACTCGGTTATGAGGTGATGGAAGAAAGAGCTAAATTTACTGTAAGTATTGACTTCTGCAGTGCACCAATAGAAAGTGAAATAGCGTCTTACCTATTGTATACACTGGTTGTGAAATGTGTTACACAGTGGCCTGCTAGCCACAAAGTCAGTAGTTCAAAACCTTCACAGAAAAAAGATAAGGCTTTCTACTCCTGTAAAAATTTTGTCTCAGAGACTCACAAGGGCAGTTCTACACTATCCTGTAGGGTTACTATGAGTCAGAATTGACAAGATAGAGAGGGTTTTTTGTTTGTTTGTTTGTTTTTAATATGTAACCTAGGGCTACCATTATAAAATACCATAAGTTGAATTACTTAAAACATCAAAAATTTATCCTTTCACAAAGCTGGACGCCAAAGTCTGACACCCAATGTTAGCAAGGTTTCTTTCTTCTGAGCCAGAATCTGTTCTGTTTCTCTCCTTGTTTCTAGTGAGGACCAGCAAGCGTAAGCTTTCCTTGCCTTGTGATAGCATAACTCCAATCTCTGCCTTTGCCGTCACACAGCTGATTTCTCTTTATGTCTATCTCTTTTTTTACTTTTGTAATAAGAAATCCAATTATATTGGATTAGGAGCTGCCCTACTTCAATATGACTGTGTGTTAAACAACTTAGTTATTACATCTACAAAAACCCTATTTCTATATTACCATATATACTTGAGTATAAGCCGAGTTTTTTTAGCACATTTTTCTTTTTTTTTAATGAATGAATGGCATCTGTTGAGGAAAGGGGTGCTTGCTGGGAAACACTAATTGAGATGAGTCCAAAGGCATGACTAAGAATTTACGAAACCAGGGTCCAAATGGAGACAAGGGCTCAGTGCTAGGGACTGGTCTTGTGGAATGCGGTGGTGGTCGGGGAAGTAGGAATGTGTGTCACAGGCAATTCTGTAGCTGGAGCAGATGGTGAGTGTGCAGGATGTGTCGGTGATGGGTCTGCAGAGGCAGACTGCTGGGATCTGGGCTACCTAGAGCCTGACTTTGCTCAGGCTGGAATGGGACAGGCTGTCAAGAGTGCTCTTGATGGGCCGGAATGAGCAGTGCCCAGCAGAGGGAGTCTGGGGAGAAAATGATGAGCAGTCCAGATGAGGGGTGGTGGGTGTGTGGTCCAGGCCAGGGCAGGAGGTAGAGTGCTGAGATGGGAGTGCTCGGTGCCTGAGGCAGTGTGAGGGCTGCAGGAGGAGGAGAGGGTGATCATGTGGTTACTGGCTTGTGTCCCTGCATGGATAATGGAGCGTGCCACCAAAATGAGGGCCCCGGGAGAAGCAAGCATGAGCAAAATGAAGTGAGTTGTCTTTGTTTATATGATCAGGCTTGGGAAATGTATGTTGGAAGTGGCTATCAGGTTTGGGGGGAGTTTTTTGAGGGACCCATTGAAGGTGGGCCTGAGAGGGGAAGTCAGAGCCAGTGGTCTGCTGGAACCAGGTCCTATCAGCTCCAAGGAGCTGGTTAAATTTCCAGAACTGAGGGAGTAGTTCAATCTAGTTATTATTAAAACCCATCAGCTACTGCATCAACTAAGTCTACATGGAAGACACACACCAACCTAGGTGATCCAAGGATTGTAAATACTAAGTCCAAATCAGAAGCAAGGAACAGCTGAATCAGAGTTTAAATTGTGAATTCTTGGTTTGTATAAGGCTATGGATGACAGTGGAGGCCCCAAAAAATCCATTTTCAGGGTTCACATATGGATTAAGCCTCCCGTGAATCTCCTCTGATCATAGTTAAGGGTGTATGAGTAGCCTTGTTATCAGTCAGAGAGCACTGTAAAGTCAATTATTACAGACATAGGTTAAAAGGAAATGTCTTATCATTTGATCTCCCCTTTGACCCATTTTAAAGAATGGAAGCAGAACCTTGTTACAGTGTCCCAGGACGGGCCCCTCAGGTCCTAGGGCACTTGAACTGTGACTGAGGAGGAGTTGTTGTCTCGGGGTGGAGTGGACCATGGCAATGGAAGTTCAGTAAAGCCTGTGAGAGTGGAGCCTTCAGGGCCTTCATCTGCTGATGGGGCACGACTCAAGGTCTTTCAGCACATTTTTTGCCCTACAAAAGCCCCCGAGTTTTTTGTGGTAAAATGAGGTGCCTCAGCTTATATGCGAGTATATACGGTAGGTCACATTCCCAGGTCTAAGGACTAGGACTTCAACATATCTTTTGGGGAGACAATGCAACCCATGACATCTGCATATGTTAATGATACTCTTTAGAAATGCCTGCATTCTATTGAGTCACCTTTCTTTGGAATGAGTACAAATATGAATCTCTTCTAATTGGTTGGCCAAGTAGCTGTTTTCCAAATTTCTTGGCATAGATTAGTGAGTGCTTCCAGCGATATATCAATTATTGAAACATTTTAGTTAGTAAACTTAATTCCTTAGTTTCCATGAGTGCCTTTGGTGCAGCTTGGATTTTGCCTTCAATACCATTGGTTCTTGATCATATATTATCTCTTGAAATGATCGAGAGTTAAGAAATTCTCTTCATTACAGTGACTATTAAGTCCTTCCATCTTTTTATGTTTCCTGTATCATTCAATATTTTGCCCATGGAGACCTTCAGTGTTGAAGCTCAAGGATTTATTTTTTTTAAGCCCTAGTACTTCCAACTTGAGATATAAGAGTGTACCCCCCCTCCCACACACACAACACCCCACCCCACCCTACCCCTGCCAAAACTCTGCCCAGCGGAGCTTCATTGAATGCATTTTTCCTATTAGCCAAACATAGAGCAACTCTCATAGAGCAACTCTCTCAGAGTTAGTGCACCCAGTGGCATCACCTGGGAAGGTACTCTCTGGTCACAGTGAATTTTTTCATGAAAGCAGTTTCACTTCAACTTCATTCTGTGTGACTTCTTTTTGTTTCTGCAACTGAAGAGGGACATGAAAGGACAGAGGGTGTACATTAGTACAGATAGGAATTGGAAACACAGGGAATCCACGACAGATGATACCTTCAGGACCAGTGGTGAGAGTGGCGATACCTGAAGGGTAGAGGGAAGGTGGGGTAGAAAGAGGCAACCGATTACAAGGATCTACATATAACCTCCTCCCTGGGGGATGGACAGCAGAAAAGTGGGTGAAGGGAGACGTCGGACAGTGTAACATATGACAAAATAACAATTTATAAGTTATCAAGGGTTCAGGAGGTGGGGGTAGCTGGGAGGGAGGGGGAAAAATGAGGAGCTAATATCAAGAGCTGAAGTAGAAAGAAAACATGTTGACAATGATGAGGGCAACAGATGTACAAATGTACTTGACACAATGGATGTATCCATGAATTGTGATAAGAATTGTAAGAACCCCCAATAAAATGATTTTTTTTTAAAAAGATGAGCTTTTGAAGCCCTCTCTTCCTTTTTTTTTTTTTTTAAATCATTTTATTGGGGGCTCATACAACTCATTACAATCCATACATACGTCAATTGTATAAAGCACATTTGTACATTCGTTGCCCTCATCATTCTCAAAACATTTGCTCTCCACTTAAGCCCTTGGCATCAGCTCCTCATAGCCCTCTCCTGTGTGTATGTTTTCATATAGATAATCTCTTGTGACATATCAGTAACCTTTGCTCATTTTTCTTTTGGCATTATCTTTTCCATTTTGATTTGTGTTTTTCTAAGCATGTAGATAAGTCCCTTTTCAGAGATATTTTTATATTGTGAGTAGCATCTCACTGTGTTGTTTTCTTTTTCCTTTCTTAATGGTATACTCAATAAACAAGAGTTCTTAACTCTAAGATAGCCTTGATTATTAATTTTGCATATATGATTATCAGATTTTGAAATGCTTCTGTACTCCAAAAGTTAAAATCATGTTGTCCTTTGTTTTCTTTTAAAAGCTTTATTGTTTGACCATTGATGTTTAAATGTGTAAACCATCTGGAATTAATTGTTGTCCGTGGTGTGTGCTAAGGGTCAAGATGCAATTTTTTAAATCTAAGTGGGTATCAGTTGGCTTTTCTTGAAAAGGCTATTTCTCTATTTGATGTGTACTACTGCCTCTTTCATAAATCACGTGACCATTCAATGAATGTACACATGTGCTTTACACAATGGATGTATGTATGGATTATGATAAGAGTTGTATGAGCCCCTAGTAAAATGATTAAATCAAGTGACCATAAATCGATGGGCCTGTTTTTGCACTATGGGGTTCATTTACCATTGCGGTACCAATTCCACACAGCCTTCACTGCTGCAGTGCTATGGTGGGTCTGGAGATCTAGTCTGGAGATCCGTTTTCAGGATTGGCTTGCTCTTCTTGGCCCTTTGCATTGGCATGTGCTGAATCTACAGATAACTCTAGGGAGCACAATATTGACAATATTGAGCCTTGTACAACAAATTTAATTTATTTAACTTATTTAAATTATGAATTATGTTTTGTAATTTTCAGTGCCCAGGTCTTACATATTTTAGTTACCCCTATTTCTAGGTATGGATGTTTCTATTATTCTTATGAGCATTTTTTTTCCTACTTGCTTTTTGTTCATTGCTAATTGATGCATGTTGACATTGTATCTAACAACCATGATGTTTTTAAGTCAACATTTCATACTGTAAATTTGTGGGAGAATGGGAAGAAATTCAAGAAAGAAATATTGAGAAAAATTGTTTAAAAAGAGATTTGATCTTTGGAGTTAACGTTTTCTCAAAACCTCTGATAGAAAGGCATGTCTGTGGAACTGATTTTTTTTTTTGAGAGATTCATTTTGGAAATAATAAGCTTGTGATTCGTTTTTTACATTGATTTACCTTTATTAAGGAGAAGTGAATGTTTGACATTAATTGAGGTGAAATGTGTGTAAATACAAGTTTGTGGGTATTTAATATAGTTGAATGCCAATATAACGTTTTCCAAGACACTAAAGAGGAAGAAGTAAAGAAAGTTAAAAGAGTAAGAAATAGGTGAACGAGGAAAGCCCTCTAACGTGGTACGAGGACACATGCTACAGAGAAAATAAAGCATGGCAGTGGGGTAAGGAGTTTCTCCAAAGCTGGGATGGTGATCGCTGTCAGCCAAGGTCTCACCGAGAAGATTTAGGAAGATCTCACATAAAAGATTATCTCAGCGAAGACAACTGCAGAGGTCCTTGTGGCTGAGAGCAGAGTACACAGAGAGAGGTGGAGATGATGAGATAACAGGTAAAGGTAAGAGAGTGGCAGATCATACTGACCATTCTAGCTTACTGTAAGAACTTTGGATTTTACTTTGAATGAAATGGAACTCTTAAAAGATTTTTTGTTTTGTGTTTTTTAAGAGCCATTTAACTAAATGTTTTAAAAGGCTTTCATGGAGGAAGATCTGACGATAAAGTTAGATTTTGCAGAAGTCCGAGAGACATGGTGGTGATTGGGCACAGCAGATCCTGTGATACAGTATTGCTGAATTCTAAGTATATTTTGAAGGTAGAGCCAACAGTATTTCCTGATGACTTAGAAGTGGCACAGGAGAAAAAGAAATTGACCCCATGTTTTGTGCCTGTAGAATGAGAATAATAAGATTGCTATTTAATTAGATGAGAGGAAGATCAGGATTTGGTTTTAGACGTGCTTGAGTGAGATGTCTGTTAGAGTCTATTAGATATTGAGATGGTGATGTTAAGTACGGTATGTGTATGTATGAATATATGTGGGATGTGTGTGTGTGAGGATACTTTGTGTATGTATATGTGTGAAAGTACATGTATGAGGGGGCCTCAAAAAGTTCATAGGAAAATTCCATTATCTTCTTGTTCAATTTTGTCATGGACTTTTTGGATCCCCATTGTAGGTGGAAATGTATAGAATTCCATGCAGAAGACAGCTGGAGACACAAGCTTGAGTCTTGAGTTTGTAAAATAATTTTTCCTGGATATGTTCGTTTGAATTGAGCCCTTAACTGAAGAAAATATTCAGATTGACTATTGAGATCTGATAATATAGAGAGTGTCAAAAGCCTTCCAAAGGGGTTTTTAAACAAAATATGATTGGGAGTGGATGGGAACTGGGGCTGGGAAAGAAGCATAAGGTTGGTAGGCTTCTGCCATTGATTATGTTCTGTGTCCTCCTCTGAGTGCGTAGTGCCTTTGTGGAAATTCATCAAGTGTGATGCTTATGATTAATGTACTTTTTCTGTATGTATTTTATAATTCACTGTAAGTTGTTTAAAAACCCTTAAAAGTGAACTACATAGAAAGTGCATTATTTAAGCATAGAGGAGGGAATAATCAGTACTATCTATAAAGTTTTCTTTTAAAGAACACTACTTAGATAAATAGAATGCTAGAAAGTCAGCATTCTAGAGAAGAAACAACACAAAAGTCTACATTATGTCTTTCCAAGTGGAACAGAATGTTTAGGACCCACTGAGGAAATGTAGTCATTTAGTTGGGGGATGGGGCAGGGTTCATTTTCCAAAATGGGTGCATATGGATTAAATGAAGTGCATATGGATTGTTTTTTAATAAACTTAATCATCCTATGGAATTAACTTTTTTCATGTAACAAGCATACATGCTCAAAGTTTTAAAGCCAATACCACCCATCCACCATTTTTTTCCTACTGACTTCTAAAAACAATGTTTCTTTTGTATTCCTAGTACAACTATCTTAGATCAGAACTTTCTGCAGACTTTAAAGGATATCCAAATAATCTTGCTCCCTGTCTTTTGTGTTGCAAAGATAAGTGAGTTGGTGTCTTACATCAAAGCTGAGGGATTTATTATTACCCCTTGCTGACACTCCTCCCTTAAAAGCTGAGCGAGCAGTTAGAAAGGGAGAAAATTCGAATGGGAAGCATAATCTATAATCCCTAAATAATAAATAATCCCAAGAACAGCACTGTCCAAAAGAAATAGATGATCCATAAATACAAGGGGCATTTATAATTAAAGTTTTCTAGGAGCCACAAGAAATAGCTAAATTATTTTTATATTTTATTTAATGTATTATATCCAAAGTTTGATTCCAACATTTAATCAAGATTAAAACCATTTTAATGATAACATGAGGGTAGGGGGAGAAGGGGGAGGAACGGGTCACCAAATGGCATATAACACCTCCCTCCCCCAGGGGGACGAACAACAGAAATGGTGAAAGGAGATAGCGGAGGTGTAAGATATGAAAATAATAATTTATAATTTATCAGGGGTTGATGGAGGGTAGAAGGACAAGGGAGGGAGAGGAAAGAAAGCTGATACCAAGGGCTCAAGCAGAAGGAAATGTTTTGAAAATGATGATGGCAACATATGGACAAATGTGTTTGATACAATTGATTTATGGATTGTTATAAGAACTTTTAAGAGCCCCTAATGAAATGATTTATTAATTAAAAAGATTTTAATGATAAAACTTTGCATTTTTTCATACAAAGTCTTTGAAATCTTGTGTTTCTTATACTCATTCCACATTTCACTTTGGTCTACTTGTATTTTAGTGGTCAGTAGCCAATGTGGATAGAGTGCAGCTCTAGAACTACAGTTGAAAATGATTACATAGCCACCTCTAAGAAGTTCTTTTTTCTTGAAGAGTTTCACTCATTCAACAGATACCGTAAATGTACCATGTCCCAGAACACTGTACTAAAACCTTCTAGGAAAGCTATCTTTACCTCTGTCACAAGTAGCACTTTCTCAAAACCACTCACTGCCCTCCAGTCGATGCCAGCTCAGAGCAGCACTCTCGGGCAGGTGGAACTGCCGCTGTGCGCTTCCGAACCTGGAACTGATGACCGGAGCAGAAAGCCCCCTCTTTCCCCTGACAAGCAGGAGGTGGTTTCAAACTGTTGACACCCAGCACCATTTCTCAAAATAAAATTTAAAACTATATTTATAAGATAGTTTCTCCAGAGTTCGCTCTTTAAAAATATATAGACTTGTTTCAGCCAAGTTTTTCTATTTTAATAACCCAGATAATTATACTTATTTACAAAAATGTGCACTTCTTATCTACTATGGTAGCTGTTTTAGTTTGGATTTCAGCTTTTAATATTAAAGCATTGGTCATATTTGAAAACTGCATCATAGTTATTGAGTGAAAAAATTAATTATGTAGGAAGAGTGGCTCTTTTTCACAGCTTCAAGCATAATCAATCTGTTAGCCCTAGAATATTTTGACATCAAGCATATTTGGAAGCTGATGAGTTCAGTGTTATTGTGGGCACATCAAAAACATTTTGCCTCAAATTTGTCATATAATATAGCTTTAAAAGTTTGCTTTTAGTGACAAGTAACAATATTTTGATTATTTATGATCCATGTAATATCTATATTTTGATATCACCATTTCAAAAATACTCCTAAGTGATTGTCTTTAAGACTAGCATTCACAGATGTTGATATGAAATTTTAAAGCTTTATTCTTTAATGCATTCCAAATAGCTAGAACTTAAAAGTATCCTAGTTTACATCTCTTACATAAACTGAATAAAAATTAAGTAGTTTTAATCTTAGTTGTCAAGTGATTTTAAAATATTTTGTTTGAACTTTAAATAACTTTACTTTTTTCTTTATATAGGTATATAAAATACTAGTAAAGAAAACTCCAGAAGAAAGCTGGGTAGTTTTTAGAAGATACACTGACTTCTCTAGACTTAATGACAGAGTAAGTTGTTTAATAAATCCAAAACTGACTTTTCCTTAGACTTCATTTTCTTGTACTTTTTTTCCCCTTGGTGTTAATTCTTTGACTGAAAGTTTTTATTTTGCTCTAGTAGCCTAGACGCCAATCAATAAACGGTTTTATTTTTACTAAGAAAGCAGTTAAAGTGTTATACCTGGAAATTGGTAAAAGAAAAATTATTATATAACTGTAGATTTGGAGAGACATATAGTAAGACCTCCAAATTATATGATTACAAGAACAAATGAACAAAAATTAATTTAACATTGTGTTACTTTCTTCATGTTACATAATAACAAATAACCACAAACGTAGTGGCTTAAAATCGTATCAGCTTATTATTGCCTGGTTTCAGTAGGCTCACTAATTAGGTTTTTAGGAGTCAAAATCAAGCTATCGGCCAAACTTGGCACTTACCTGGGGTTACTGGAGAAGAAACTTCTTCCTGCTCATTTAGGTTTTTGACCGTATTCCATTCCTTGAAGTTTGAGAATCAGGGTTCCCATTTCCTCGATGACTGTTAAAGCTCCTAGAGACTGCACTCTGGTCCTTGTACGTTCTCCCTCTTTAAAGCCAGCAATAGTATATCAAATCCTTCTTGTTCTTTGAATCTCTGACTTTCTTTGGCCATCAGCCAGAGAAAACTCTCTGCTTTTGAAGGGCTAATATAAGACTACAGCTAATCTCCGCATCTTAAAGTTAGCTGATTAGTCATCGTGATTACATCTAAGAACTCTTTTTTACTGTGTGGTACAGTGGCTCAGTGTTCAGTTCCTATCCAAACGATCAGTGATTTGAACCACCAGCCACTCCACAGAAGAGCTGTGGCAATCTTACTTACAAAAAAAAATTGTGAATAACATAATCCAATTCCAAAGGAAGGAATAGTAACAGCTTAAGTTGCGAACCACTGGTTTCTAGAAGGTTATAGATGACAGTGGAAGAGTCAATATATAGATTCTAGGTATTTGAAAAAGCCTTGTTATCAGACTGAGAGCATTATAAAGTCGGTGATGGCAGATGTAGTTAGGTTAAAATGTAGTATCTTATCATTTGGTGTCTCTTTTGATCCATATAAAAGTTGTTTTAGTTAAAAAAAATCGGTGCAGGTGAAGTACACATGGATTAAGTCTCTGGTAGATCCCTCTGAGCACAGACCAGGGATGTGAACGCCCTTGCTGGCGTGCAGAGTGCATTGGGAAGTGGATAATTGCAGACGCAGTTAGGGTAAAATATAATACTTTATTATTTGCTCTTCCTTTTCACCACTTAGAAAATTTCTGCTAGTGTTTAATATTTTCTGCTTTTCAATTGAGGTTTTTCTCTAAGTTGTTATTGTTAGATTTCTGTGTGTTTGTGTATATATTTTTCTATGTATGAAACCCAAGATACGTATATCTATAGAAACTTAACTGGATTAATGGTTTCTTGGGGGTGTGACGGGGATATTTGAGGGAAATGGGGAGCTAATAACAATGAGTACAAGAAAGAAGAAAATCTTCAAAAATTGATTGTGGTCATGATAGTACAGCTCTTCTTGATAGGAATGAACTGTTAAATGTATGATATGTGGACTATGTGCTCCCCCACAAGAAAAAATTAGAGCCTTGGAACCCTATGGGGCAGTTCTACTCTGGCTTGTAGATTCACTAGGAGTCAGAATCAGCAAGTGACATAACAAAGTTACATACGTAAAACCAGTGGCAAAGGTCATGGAACCGTCTACATTTCTTCCTGCTATACATATGAAGCAAATAATGTAATAGTAAACTTGTATTTGTAAAAAGGACTAAAAAATTATATAGCTAAAAGTAGAAAATAAAACAAATGTTGTAAACAGAGTAATCCATAGAAGAAATATGAATGACCAATAAATATGTAAAGTATTTAATATGACAAAAATCCCAGGATAAATAAAGGAACTTTTAAATTTATCAAGTTGATAAACATTTCAGTGATATTTTTACTAAATTAGCCTTTATACAGGACAACCTAACATTTTCCATAATTCTGACATAATCACGTTGCTGGCATTTAGCCTATACAACTCATGGATATGGGCAAGTTTTAGCCCTAAGGATACTTACCAGAGTGTTTTATTTATTCTCATTTTGTTTGTGTTTTACTATGTGCTTAATAGTTAAAAATTGGAACCAGCCTACCTTACCTATAGGTAACTGATTAAGTAAAGTGCTGTCCAGAGAGCCAGAGGAAAATGGTGAGGGATAGTTGGCAAGTCTTCGGTATTTTGGAAACCAAGAGAAAAATCATTTTTACCAAGAGTAGCAGCGAGTGATTTATAATGTGTCTGAGGGACCAAGCAAGATTACCTTAGAACAGCCAGAAATGCCTCTCATTTTGACAGACAGGTGCTTAGAAGAGGAAACGTTATTGACCCTGTTCTTTCCCTTTTAACAGCTTCACTTTCCTCCTCTGGATGGCTTAGCACTTCTTTCGTTAGTCCGCACTTTAATGTTTGATGGTGCAAAACCCTGTTTATGTGCGTTGGCAGTTCTCTGACTGCAGATCATTTCTGCCACTCCACCAGCCTCAGCTTCAATGTAAAAGTTAGAAAATGCCAAACTGTTTTTAGCCTTTATTCAGGTGCTGTTGAGATGTATTTTTTTTAGGAGCTAAGATATTAAAGAGGTGTTTATAATTTAGTATCATCAAAAATGAATTTTATTACTGCTCCATAGCTTCATTGGATTAGAAGCCTGTAATTCTATGCTCTTAATTTTTTTAGGTGCTTAAACAGGAAGATCGAAGTCATTTATAAAGTTACCAGATAAAAGGAACTTTTAGTTTTCCTTTAAAGTCTCTTTTAGTAGAAAATAAAACAAATTATGTACACAAAATTATCAATACAAAAAATATGAATGACAAAAAAATGTGTAAAGAATTTAATGTCACAAAAACTTTTCCTTTAAAATTGCCATAGTTTTGTATGTAATTTTCAAATTTTATAAATTTTTGAAAATTAAGCAGACTCCATTTTAAGTAGGATAAGTTTAGAACTAACCCTTTTTATCTAGAGAAATGGGGGTGGTTTAGCCCTCCTCCTCCACATCCCCCTTTCAAAGAGAGACAGAAGAACAGTACGCACGCGTTGCATAGAACTCGTAGGACCACATGCAGTAAGGAAGACTTACACCTTTCTGGATATAGATAGTCAGACCAGGAATGCTGGTGAAGAGGCGTGGGGTGCTGTGCGTGGAAGTGAGTCGAGCTCGGGCCAACTCTAGTGGCCGTGCTTCTTCAACACAGCAACTGTCTTCTCAGAAATATAAGAGCTGGCAGCTGGGACATTTTAAGTCTTTTAGTAGTTAATGTATAATTTCAATACATTCTGTTAATATATATAAGGCAATTTCCCCATTTCACAGTGAAATGATAGAAGAAAACATTTTGGCCATGTTGAGTATATGAACTCTTCATGATACAGCTAACGTAGTCAAATGCCTTATGCTGTTTAGTTAAAATAGTTACACATAGGTAAATGAAATAAAATAATATTTAAGTATGACTTATACACTATGAAATAATTTTAATCAAACTGCATGATCTTTAATATCAGATTGTTATCACTAGAGTTTGTTTTCAGTTATCGCAACAGTTTTCTTTTTCTCATCTAGCTTGCTTGACATAAAGTATTTTTAGTACGTGTAGTTGCTATCAGACAGCTAACACTTTTAACTATATGTCACTGATAGAAATAAAAAAATAAAGCCATCAGGCATAACGAGCTGACCTGGCTTTAATTCATTTAAGTTTGATTAATACTTTCTCATAGTCAAGATAACTTTTGTAGAATTGATGTAATTGAGTCGCATGTTGTATTTTCTTTTCCAGTTAAAAGAGATGTTTCCAGGTTTTCGACTAGCACTTCCACCAAAACGCTGGTTTAAAGATAATTACAATGCTGACTTCTTAGAAGATAGACAATTGGGATTACAAGCATTTCTTCAAAATTTAGTAGCTCATAAGGACATTGCTAACTGGTATGTAACAAATTAAAATAATACAATAAAAACTTTCCAACAACTGACTTAAACTAACAATAAATCTAGCAACATAGTTGTTGGAGCAGAATATGTAGGGTAGAAATCGCTTGTCTTTTTGAAGAAGGGACTACATGGAATTTTCTTGCTTTCAGGTAAGCCCTTTTTGGCGCTTGCTTTTTACTAAGAAAAAAATTTTTTTTAAGGTTTGGTAAAGTCAAAATTCAGTTTGTAACAGCCAACAACAAAATTTAAACTAACTAATAGTAACTTGATTTTAAAACTAATATTTTAACCTTTTTTTTTAAGTGAGTTTACATATTCATGTTTTGGGTTAATAATTGTACTATATTGTTTGGAGGATATAGATCATTCTTTATATTTCTCCATACTAATGCAAAAGCATGAAAAGTATTAAATTGACTTAATTTATATAGAAGAGAAAGTGAAAACACTAATAATCACTTAGCCTATCAGAGAACTCTCCAAAATGGAATTATTGTCACAGGCATAAAAAAGGCTAGAATTTATAATACAGCACATAAGGGATGGTTAGAAGGGCCTTATTAAGGAATTAATTACATCTCAGATGGAAAGAAAACCATCTGTCTCACTTGTTCTACCTCTTTTTCCTCTGTTTTTTCTTTTTTGTATAAATATAAAACATATTGTAGATACACTTTTTACATTGCAATGTGGGCTGCCTATGCTTGATGCTCTTTGAGATCCTTTCCCATTCCCCCTTAATCTACCAATTATTCTAACTGAAGACCTACAACACAGGCCACTCCCAGCTCTCATCCAATTGCCTCCTTGACATCTCCTTTGAATATGTCAGTTACCTCAGACCAAAAAGAAAATATATCGCTTATTCTGCAGATCTTTGCATCATCATTTTTCAGCACCACCATGCATCCAGATGTCACTCTTGATACATGCCACTCAACCGTCTCCCTCTACACTTTAAAGGCCACTTCAGTCTGTCTACTTTTCTCCACCCCATCTCTGCACACTAACTAGTCTAAGCGGTTGTTTCTTGCCTTTAATCACTGCAGACATTCCCCAATGGCCTTTTTGCAATGTAATCTAGTTAATTATTCTTTCTGACCCCTGCCTAATCACCACCTTTCCAACCTCATGTTTCATTGTCCTGTCTGCTCCTTATTCTCTGAATGTCACTCACATTGGTCTTTATATGATTCTTTATTTGTTTTCTCTTAAGGTCTTCAAATATGCTGTCCCCTCATCTGGAAAGGTTACCTTTCTCACTACTACCCCACCTACCCCTGGCCTAGAAAACCCCTGTACATTCCCTCACATTTCAACACAAACTTCACTTCCTTGACCTTTCCTCCTGTGCTCCTCTCCTACTGCTATCCCCACCAAAGACCAGTCGGTTCTTTCTCATTGTGTCTGCACCGGCCCTTCTCAACTCTTTCTGAGCATTGATCCTGATACCTTAAGATCGTCACTGTGTGTACTGAAGTAACTTTCCCTGTGTGCTCTGCAGTTACTAGCTCTGCCTTAAGAGAACTGGAAAAGCACTAATCACTCATATTTTCAGTAGAATTTCTCTCATAGAATGGCTGCTTGGTATTTTTCTTTCATACCATGTCAGTTTCAATTGTTTCTTTGACTTATTTGTGTTGCCTTCACCAAACTGCCTGATTCACAATAGCAGACCATGCGTCTGTTTTAGGTGTCGTTCACTGTCTGTGGCTTAGCACAGGGCCTGACACAGAGTAGGTGCTCAGTTATATTTGCTCAGTCGATGAAAGACTTGGTGGTATCCACAGTTGCATTGTTGATGTAGAAAAGACGATTGACACAAATATGACAAAACAAATCGACCGTATGCTTTAAATAGTGAGAAAGTGGGTATTTCATATTTCAGTTTTCACATCTCTCACAAAAGAAGAATGGTGTAAATGTAGGCACACACATAAAGTAGGAATGAAAACCAAGACCCACTAGCATCATAAAGCAAGCTTTTTTTATAAAACTGTATGTTATACCAGCCCATGGAAATAGACTTTCAGTAGTTGTATGAGCCCCTAATAAAACAATTTTTTTAAAAAAGAAAAGAAAATGATGATGGCAACATATGTACAGTGTGCTTGACATAATGGATGTATGTATGGATTGTGATAAGAGCTCTATGAGCCCCCAATAAAATGATTTTTTTTAAAAAGTAAACATATTTTACCTTTTCTTATCTGTTAAAAAACAGAGTAATTTGTGTTTCTGTATTTGAAATATTGTAGTGAATTAAAATCAAATTCTACGAATGACTATACTGTTATTTAATAAAATATTAAATATGAATCAAGTAAATAAACTCAACTTGTAACCATAATTTTCCTGAATAGTGAAAGTGTATTTGGATTGGCAGGTTTAGGTGTGCCATCTCTTTTTAATTACTGATAACAATTCTTAATAATGTAGGCAATGCTAGGAACAATCTTGAATATCAGAATAGTGGTATTGGCATTGTTCAGCTTTTAAATAGAGATTTTTCAAGGAAAGAAAGGTCCCATAGTCAAATAGTTGAGCAGACATTTCATTTTACATTCCTAGTGTATTAAAGGTTATAGAAAATTCTTGAATGAAAGAATCTAGTGTGCATTGCATTCATTTGCCTACCTACTTTTGTCGTATATCATTACACATATTTCAGGAATGCAATTAAATTACTTAAGTTGGACTCAAAACAAAGTTCATTGTGCCTACTGCCTTTTTTTTGTTTGATGGATAGTGTATTTTACTTTTTGCTGCGAGAGGTTTTAAATAAATTATTGGTCCAAAAATGAGAATAGAGGTTATTTCTCAGTATCATAAGGTTTCCCCTATATCATGATAGGAACATTATAAAAGAAGCTAAGGGTATACTCTTTGACCTTAAATTCATCTGGAGAAATTCGGCTTCTGTGTGAACAGTCTAGTTCATAAACTGCTCCATGGGATGATAATGCATTGTAGACCTTCCAGAAAAGGAAGGTCGGTGTTGTTTACAATGGCCAAGCAATGCTTGAATTAGGATGTAGGATCTGAATGCATTGAAGGGTGATTAAAATTTGAATAAGAAGATGGGTATGTGTCAGAAACAAATAATTCAGCCATATGTAGAAAATCTGAAGTTGCCAAACAGCCATTTATTAGTTGAAGATTGAGCCATTAAAACAGAAATGGCGCTTAATGTGTTTTTGAGATTATACTCTAGAAATACCTCCCACTCCTCAAGACAGTTCCTGTTGTTAAAAGGGGGACTAATTATCAAAGTGACAAGAGCCAAATTACTACAGTGGTCTGCCATCAATATTACTGTTGTGCGCTACACAACAAAGGTGTTTAATAGCCTCACAATCCAAATTCCCATAGTTGGTTGATAAAAGCTTGATTATATCTAAAAACGTAAGAGAAGAGAAGGTTGAGTAAAGGTTTTGCTTTGATTTGTTTTGTTTTCTGGTTGAAAGAGAAGAAAGGAAATCTCTCCTTACAAAAAGTAAGCATCCCAGATAATTCCTTTGTGAACACATTGTTGTTGTGTGCCACTGCCTCCGACTCCCGGCACCCTGTGTGTGTAGCAGAGAGAACTGCTCCGTAAGGCTTGACTTGGCTGTTATCTATACAAGCTGATCACCAGACATTATCTTCTTTAGCAGTGCTGGTAGTTTCAAACTGCCTATCTTTTGTTACCGGGAGCATAAACCACTTGAGCCGCCCAGGGTCCTTTATGTAAACAGCACGCTACATTTGAGAATATTGCTTGAAATGGCAACACGGAAACAATTCTTATCTTTATACTGCAAAAAAATAATTTAATATTAATTCATTATATATTGTTCCCCCTTTCTGATACCCTTAGTACTTCACAACAGTTATTTAACTTTTATATTGGCTTTTAGCCATTACGCACTTCCATGACAGTTTATAAAGAGGTTCTTTAACTGTACTGAAGAAAAACTGGGACTAAGATCTGAGAAGATATTAAGGACTGTGGGCTGAATGTTTGCAGATAATTTGAAATGTGTTAACAGAATACTAATTAACATAAAAATGAATATTTCACCAATAAAAGTTTATTAGAGGCTTTAATTATTAAACAAATACTTATTTCAAACTCACTGCCATTAAGTCACTTCTGACTCAGCAATCCTACAGGACTGAGTAGAACTACCCCTGTGGGTTTCCAAGACTACACATCTTTATGGGAGCAGAAAGCCTCTTGTAGCAGCTATTGTTTTCAAACTGCTGACCTTGCGCTCCGCAGTCCAAATCATTACTTACATGCCACCAACTCAAAAAACAAACCCATTGCCATTGAGTCAATTTTGACTCAGCGACTGAACAGGACAAAGTGGATCTGCCCCTGTGGGTTTCCAAGACTAAATCTTTTTTTTTTTTAAACATTTTATTAGGGGCTCATACAACTGTTATCGCAATCCATACACACATCAATTGTGTAAAGCGCATTTGTACATCATTCTCAAAACATTTTCTCTCTACTTAAACCCCCGACATTAGGTCCTCATTTTTCCCCTCCCTCCCTCATGAGCCCTTGATAGTTTATAAATAGGTATTTTGTTATATCTTGCCCTGCCAAGACTAAATCTTTATGAGAATAGAAAGCCTAGGTTTTTTTTCATGGAGCAGCTGGTAGTTTCAAACTGCTAACCTTGTGGTTAAGAGCCCAACGCTTAACCACTACTCCACTAGGGCATCCACTATACCACCTGGGCTCCTTAAATATTTGTTTAGTTTCTACTCTATGGTGGTATAACTATTATACACAGATAGATACTGATCCTGTTTGAGACCAAAAAAAAAAAACCAAACTGAGTAGGCAGGAGACATGCTCAGACAAGAAAGAGAACTATTGTTTCGAGAAATTCTTAAAGAGTGACATTTAAGCTAGATTTTAAAGAGCTAGTGAGATTTGAACTAGCAGGAAGAATGTAAAGAAAGACTTTCCAGATGAAATGGAGTATTTTCAAAATTCACAAGAAATAAATAATGGTCCTATACTAAGAATAGCATTGAAACTCAGTGTGTCCGGGTGAAAGCTGTGTAAAGATGGATAGAAAGAGTAAAATCTTATGCATAATTGTTATATTTAAAATATTTTTATTTTATGGTATGTCTTGTTTTGTGGCAATACCTTTCAACTTCATACATGAATGCTACTGACAGTTTTTACTCTAGGCATATGTTTGGAAAATATAAAAGAATACAAGATAGAATGAAGTCAGCCAAAATCAAGAAAAGGAAACCAAGGAGACAATAACAATAAGTCTTTCTAGCTTAACTTATGAAAGTAGAAGTAGCTGTTGAAAATTAAAATCCATCTCAAGTTTGATACTTGTAATGTTCCCAACATTGGATTTTAGTTCTGATATTCTTTATACTGCTGTTTTTTTTCTAATTGCTTCGATTTCAGAATTAATTAATGATTAAATACTTACGCTGTGGGAGAAGATGAGGCATTCTGTTCCTGTAAAGATATACAGTGGTAAATTCATAGGGGCAGGTCTAAACTGTCCTGAAGTGTCACTGTGAGTTAGAACAAAGTCAGTGGCAGTGAGTTTGCTTATTGGGTGACCTACGCTGTGCTAGTTAATTTGGACGAAGTCGGCATGATCTGGTAATGTGTCTCTTACCTCAGTGGAATAGTGCTTGGTAAAGAGATAATACTAATCATTGGACTTAATACATCCTAGAAAAGGGATCTTCTGTAAGGTGCTACAGTAACACCTAGAAGACTGCTGAGCCTATTAGAGGGTAAAGAACAGAGATTTAGTTAGAGAAGGCTTCCAGGAAGAGATAGTAGTTGAACTGAGTCTGAGTCAATTAGCCTGGTCTAGCTGGGAGGAGTAAGTAGTACAGTAGCACCCAATGTGAGCCAAGGACAGAGCCATGAAGCAGTGAAGAAAGGCCTGAGGATGGAGTGTTAACTACACAGAGAAGTGAAGACTTCCTTGTTGGGTGCTGTCAACTAGGTTCCGATTCCTAGCCAGCCTATATACAACAGAATGAGCAACTTTCAGTATCTTCCTCCACCATCTTACCAGTCCCATCCAGGGAAAGGTGGTTTGGTGAAAGTGAGAGACTTTGTCTGCAAGTCTCTACTAACTCACTGCCCCTGCAGTCCTTGCTTTTCAACACTTCAAAGAAGTCTTGTGCAGCAGGTTTACCCAATGCATCGCATTGTTTGATTTCTCGCTGCTTCCGTGAGCATTGATTGTGGAACCAAGCAGGACAAAATCTTTGACAATTTCAGTCTTTTGTTTGTTTATCATGATTTTACCCACTGGTCTAGTAGTGAAAATTTTTGTTTGTTTTTTTTTAATCATTTTATTGGGGGCTCATAAAATTCTTATCGCAATCCATACATACATCCATTGTGTGAAGCACATTTGTACATTTGTTGCCATCATCATTCTCAAAACATTTGCTTTCTACTTGAGCCCTTGATATCAAATCCTCCTTTTTCCCCCTCCCTCCCCGCCACCCTTCCCTTCATGAACCCTTGATAATTTATAAATTATTATTATTTTGTCATATCTTACACTGTCCAACGTCTCCCTTCACCCACTTCTGTTGTCTACCCTCCAGGGAGGAGATTATATGTAGATCCTTGTAATTGGTTCCCTCTTTCTACTGCACCTTCCCTCCACCCTCCAGGCATTGCCACTCTCACCATTGGTCCTGAAGGGATCATCTGTCCTGGATTCCCTGTGTTCCCAGTTCCTATCTGTACCAGTCTACATCCTCTAATCTAGCCAGATTTGTAAGGTAGAATTGGGATCATGATAGTGGGGGAAGGAAGCATTTAAGAACTAGAGGAAAGTTGTATGTTTCATCATTGCTGCCCTGCACCCTGACTGGCTCGTCTCCTCCACTTGACCCTTCTGTAAGGGGGTGTCCAGTTGCCTACAGATGGGCTTTGGGTCTCCACTCTGCACTCCCCCTCATTTACAATGATATGATTTTTAGTTCTTTGAAGCCTGATAACTGATCCCTTCGACACTCCATCGTCACACAGGCTGGTGTATTTCTTCCATGTGGGCTTTGTTGCTTCTGTGCTAGATGGCCACTTGTTTATCTTCAAGCTTTAAAATCCCAGATGCTATATCTTTTGATAGCCAGGCACCATCAGCTTTCTTCACCACATTTGCTTATGCACACATTTGTCTTCAGCGATCATATCAGGAAGGTAGGTACCCACTGATATGATTTTTTGTTCGAATTGTAATACATACTGGAAGCTGCAATCTTTGACATTCATCAGCAAGCGCCTCCTCACTTTCAGCAAGCAAGGTTGTGTCACCTGCGTATCACAAGTTGTTCATAAACTTTCCTCCAGTCCTGACACAGCATTCATCTTCTTGTGATCCAGCTTCTCTGTTTTTCGCTAGAGTACAGATTGAATAAGTATGGTGAAAGGATGTAACCCTGACACATACCTTTCTTGATTTTAAACCATGCAGGGTTCCCTTGTCTGTTCTCACAACTACCTCTTGATCCATGTACAAGAAGTGTTCTGGAATTCCCTTTCTTCCCACATCTATCCATAATTGGTTATGGTCCACACCATTGAAAGCTATAGTCAACACCATTGAATGCCTTTGCATAGTCAGTGATAATATATAGAAAATCAACAAGCAGAATCATAGTACACGTAGACATTCAATAAATACCTGTTGACTTCAAATAAATTTCAGGCCAGTGTTCAAAGCAGGGGTGATGGCTTCTTTCTTGGGGCTGGTAGAGGGAAATGTGTCCAAATTTTTTAAAAGAAAAGCCAAACACACTGCCATCTAGTCAGTTTCGACTCACATTCAAACATTTCTCCCTCCACGGATTTATGTCTGTCTTTGGATTGGAATCACCTTTGGGGTATTTTCCTCTACCGAGTCCAACTGAAGCAGAAGAAATCTACACAGTGTTTTTAAACCAAAGTTGGAAAGCCAGTTTTAAGTACTGAAGAAACATCCACTTAAAAAACAATGAATTACAAATGATATATTACATTTATTCACAACAGAATAATGGCTTTGTTAATTTGGTTCAGTCTATTTCTTTGAGAATCATTTTCTTAAAAATAAAGATGTTATTTACCAATTAGATTGGTCTCCTGTATAGTTATTCTAAATTTGTTTTATGCCCTATAAGTTTTTATGGAATAAAGAACTTCAAGTCTCTGTTTGTATTTACAAGACCTTAGAAGCTAGCTTGAAATCTGTGTAACTTTCATAAATTGGACGTTTATACTTGATTACCTTATGAAGACCCGCCTGCTTAGTTTACTTTGGTGTAGCAGCGAAACCACCTGGCTTAAAGCACTATGTAGCCTCACCATCAGTGACTTGCTTTCAGCTATTTCTTGTAAACTTCAATTTTTTTTTTCCCTTTGAAAAGCCTTGCAGTGAGAGAATTTCTTTGTCTGGATGATCCACCGGGTCCATTTGATAGCCTAGAAGAAAGCAGGGTAAGTGCTGTATTATGTGTCACATGGAAAGAGAAACAAATAATACAGTACAAAACGACATTGTTTCTTTGATAGCCTAGCAGGATATTATAATTTCAGACTCTGGTAATTTTGTTCAGAATGTTTTTAATGTTTAGTTCAGGGGTTTTATTTTGGTTGGGACACATGGAGTTAGTTAAGTGAAAAAGAAAATTAAACACATGTAATATAGTCAGTAAGCCGCTAAAATCCTTCATTGTGTTCTCCTTACTATTGTTGGGGGGTGGGGGAGAAAATGAGCATTTATTTTAATACATTTTAAAGTATTATGTAATATATGATTCCATCGAAGTGTCAGAATAGAGAACCTCCCCTTAAAATCAAATTTAAAAGTTGATTGTTTTGTTTTCATGAGAGGTAGAAGTGATTGTCCATTCAGTCCATGCCTGAATGCTACTCATATTACATTCATTGACGTATTAAAGTGGCCTATTTATTGACGCAGTAGGCTAGATTCACTAGCAGATTTGGTAACAATAGACTGGCTATGCCTGTGTGCAAGTCTTTTCCTAAATAATTATTCGCTTTAAAATGAAACATTTAATTGGTGAGTTTGTGATGTCTTTCAGATTTTAAATCTTACTGACTATATCATTGCATTTCTTGACTTTCTGTTTGACTTGTTTCTTACATTGCTTAATTTGTATACCTTATTTTTTAATAAGTCTTAAATATATTTTCAAGTCATATTTCAGTCTTATATTATGGTCTTTGTCTAATAGTTCTGTGAGCTAGATTCTGTATGATTCTGATCATCCGTTTGATGGATCTGCTCCTTTTCTTTCATGTTGGATTGTTTCCAGTGTGCTTTGTAAGTGTGGACTGTAAATTAACTTTCAGTAGAACTGTCAGCAGGGATCATAGGTTGAGGGAGTTGATTCACTTCATGAAGTTTGTCTTTCTTTCTGATGGAATAATTTAAATGTCATTGTTGCTTGCTTGCTTGTTGGCTTGCTTGACTTATTTGTTAATTTCTCAGTTTGGGTGTTCTGGACAACTGTAATAGGGTAAATTCAAATTCAAAATTCACATGGACATTGAATAATGTTTATAGATTCTTCAGAAGAGACTATCTCACCCATCTAAAAGCCATGATGAGACAGGCAATCTTATATTTCTGCATTGAAGAATGCCTTTTGTTAATGGTTTATTTCTTTAAGTTCCTTTCTTTTTCACTAAGTATTACATTTCTGGTCTCTCGATCCTCCTAAGAAGGAATCTGCTTGACTTCTCCTTTCTTGCCCCATCCTGGCGTTCCAAACCCAGCTCTGAGGTAACCAAATCCGCATCTGCTACTGGTCCCCGCTTCGCTCTCTCACTTGTGTTATCCATGCTTGTGTTTATGACAGTGGTCATAATTACTCTTCATCTTACCCTCGATAATTTGTCTTTCTTATCTGAGTAGCTCTTAAAAAGTTTAAGTGTTTTATAACTAGAAGAATTCATATTTCTGGTCGACCATATTTTTAGTAGTGGAAATTGTGGGTTTTTTTCTGTTTTGTATTCTATTTCAGTATTGATTGAAACCCGTTCCTTATTTCATAATGTTGTGAATGTACTCCAAATTTTATATGTGGAAATTTTTTATACACTCTATGTCTTATGTGGTTAGATGAAAAAACAAGCCAGATAATTTTATGTGTTCCCACTTGTATTAACACAGGTATTGAGAAACTAAAAGCAGTTCAATTTGATTGAACATAGGCATGCAGAAGAAGAGAGGAAAGGGAAGGCTAATAGACCATGCTGTGAAACTGGAGTAGAAGACATAGCCCACCTTAAGGCACTTTTTGGCCAAGGCAAAGATTTGATCATGTTCTGTAAGCAGTATTGAATTACAGGTAGCATGATCAGATCTATTTTTAAGAACACCAGCTTGGTGGAGAAAAAATTGGGAGGTTGCCAGATAGTTTACTAGTGTTACAGTTCAGCTTAAAGCCAAACCTCCCCCAGTTTCAGTAGAGAAAGGAGTTTCTAACTCCGAACCCAGCCAAGGGGAACTCTTACAAGGCAGAATCAGACATGCCTCTACTGCCCAACTTTGTTTTCATCCCAACAATACCTTTCTTGACCCTCTACCGCGCTGTTGGGCTCAATAACCGATTGCAGTGACCACACAGAGCTCACAGACAGTACTCGGGATTATGGAGGGTAAGAAAGCCAAGTTACAAGTCAGGATCAGAAACATTACGGATTTAGGTCCTTTGTCCATAGCTCCCATTCTGAGCCACGCCCACAGACAAGACCCTCGCTGGTCCTCAGGCAGCTGGCCACCTACCCCCTTCTCTCCTCTGGCAAGTGTTATAAAACTCCATTGTGGGGGTTAGGTACCATCAAAGCAGTTCTGACTCACAGCGACCCCATGCACAACATAACAAAACGTGTCCAGCCCACACCATCCTCACAGTTATTCTTGTAGTTGAGCACATTGTCGCAGCCATGTGTCCGTCCATTTTGTGGAGGGCCCTTCCTTTTTTCACTGCCCCTTTTCTTTACCAAGCATGCTACCCTTCCTAACAGCGTGTCCAGAGTATATCAGATGGAGTCTCTCTATCCTTGCCTCTGAGGAGCTTTCTGGCTATACTTCTTCCAGACAAATTTGTTTGTTCTTTTGACCAGACTGCAAATGCATTGACTTTTTTTTTGTCTTCTTCATTCAGTGTCCAAATTTCACCTGTATAGGAGACAATTCAAAATACCATGGCTTGGGTCGTTAGTCTTCAAAGTGACATTCTTGCCTTTCAGCTACCCATTGCAATGCATCATTTGACCTCTTGACTGTTGCTCCCATGAGCATTGATTGTGGATTAATCCAAGACAAAATTCTTGAGAAAATTTATTAGTGCTAATAGATGTCCATAGAGTACCCCACTCAGTGAGCCAGTCTCCTGCCTGAAAGCAGTCAACTACTCATTCCATGAGCCGCACTGTCTCATGCTCTGGGTTCCACTTCTATTGCTGCCGCCGCCGCCGCTCCCACACAGGCATTGCAGGGTTCCAAAGACATGCTCCACTCATGGCTTCTTTCTTGATAGTCGTGAGACTCCCTCTTCATGCTTCTGAGATGGCTCACTTTATACCCAAAAGGATGGCAAAACCAACCAATTCCCACAGCGGAGTTTCTCACACCCTGTTTGTCTGGTCCCTCTCAGTTATTCTGTGGGAGGTTCAAAGAGTACTGTGCGTAAAAGAGTCGTACCATGTAATTCAACTGTGTCACAAGGGAAATGTTATAAGTACAAGAGATGCTGATGAGTTTAGTGGGCAGTTTTACCCAGTGGGCAGTTTTACCCTGCACTGAAGGTACACTGAGTCAGGATTGACTCAATGACAGTGAATTTCAGTGTGTTTGATATGCATTTGGGTGATGTTTGGTACTGGCGACTAGTCAAAAATAAATTAGTAAATTGAAAATCAATTACACATAGAATAGGACATAACTAAAGTGGTAAGATTAAGTATAATTGTCCAGGTGGCATGTATAGCATGTATGGCAAGAGAAGATAATCAAGGATAACTTTCTTTAAGGATAAAATTTTTATAAATGCCTAAGATCAGCTCTAAGGCTAAGAGTTAACTGTCAAAGTTAGAAAGGAACCAGGAAATTTTATAAAGACCTAGAAAAATTATTATATTGAAAGATGATTGCATGTGTTTTATATATAGATAAAATCCCCAGGTAAGGGGAGAAGGTAACTTAGAACAGTGCTTTCCTAATGGGAATGGTTCCGTAGTGAGCATGACTGTGCGTTTCTGTGTTCACACTCCGTTCCTTGTTTCTTTCAGGGATGTAGCAGCTAGAAGGAAGTAGTAGCTGGTCGTATGGTCTTGCTATTTCCAGTTGCTTGAGGAAGTGCCCTGATGCCTTCCTCAGTGGTTGTCCTGTTTGATCATCCCCCTAGCAGTGTTTGAGGGTTCTAATGTCTCCACACTGTCTCCAACATATGTTATGTTTTGTTCTTATGCTGAGACTCCAGTCCTGGTGGTTAACCAGGGATGGGAGAGGAAGGAAGAAAAGGGGTGTCATATGCTATCAGGTAGAGAGGTATGAAGGAGAAGATAATATCCAACAAAAGGGAGATAGGCAAAACCAAGCCAAAAACTAGTGACCTGCTCTGTGAACCTCACCTAATACATAATGAAAAATTAAAATATCAAGATTCCTTTGGGTTTGACAATTAAGAGGTAATTGTTTGCTTTTGCTTAGGCATAATCAATCAAAAAGATAATACTAAATTCCTTAGTTTAATGGTTTGAGTAATGAATGGGGGTTAAATTTAGGGGATTAAAAACACATATTTATAGCTCATTTTGTAAGAAAAGGAAGAGTTAGAAAGACTTAATAGTCAAGAAAGTAATGGTTTTTACATGTGAGAGATGTTTAGGGTTTATTTAACAAGCTTCAGAAATGCAGCCAGGCCAGTGAAAAGGATTGAAAATTCGAGAGTATATATTAAAGCTCTTCTTAACTTGAAGAACCAAGTGATGGACCTAGCCTTGTAGGCAAGAAGACGGGATGAACATGGATACGCATCTAGTTAGGGTTCAGCGGGTCTGTGATTTGTAGTTTTTCTCACGCAGAGCGGAGGCTCATCCGCTAGGTCTGGAGCAGTGACAGGGACAGTAGTGTGGGAGTTGGAAGGGAATGGAGGGAAGCCGCAGTGAAGAAGTGGTAGCTAATAGGGGCAATGACAAAGTTGGTCAACACTCTTTATGGTAGGATTTTGTTTTCTTTGTTTTCACCCTTATTTCATCAGTGTTTAGCATCCTAGATATAGAACCATTGTTCGGGGGTTTGTTTTTTTACATCTAATCATGTAGGGATGGGCAAAAATAGATAAAGTAGGAGAGAAATTATAGCACAGGGTATTAGTCACCCCCACCCCCACCCCTACCCCGACTCCAACAGAGGGTGAGGGATGTAAACTATCCACTCAGCCATACAGGCTTACTACTATGATCATTCTCAAGAAAGGTCTCTGGTAGTTGGGGAATAAAAGAGAATCAAGGTAACAGAGATAAAAAGATGAGAGAGGACAAAGTACTGAGTTTTACACATATGACTTTGGTCTTTAACTCTTGAGTAACGGTCTTGAGAAAAAGACTACGTAAGTAATTTTATTTTCTGCATGTGTTTTGGTTTTTGTGTTTTGTTTTCAGGCTTTCTGTGAAACTTTAGAAGAAACAAACTACCGCTTACAGAAAGAACTACTTGAGAAACAAAAGGAGGTGGAATCGCTGAAGAAACAGCTCGGCGAGAAGCAACTGCATATAGACACTGTAGAGAACAGAATTAGGTGTGCTGTGGCGCTTGCCATTTTAGTCTGACTGGTTCAACCTCTGATGATCTGGGTTTGATGCCCTTTGTACGTTAATGTGATTTAGGAACGCTCTGCTTCTGTGTTGATTATTTTTTAGAAGATCAAACATTTGAAGAAGGGATGAGAAACATTCAGAAAATTAGTGTCCAGCTACTTAACAAAATACATATTGCATATTTCAACCGATTTAAAGTATATCTTTGGTTCTGGGGATTTCTGCCAACTTTTCACATGTGAAAGCTTTAGTTTGCCTTCTCATCAGCATGTGTTGAATTGAGGCAAGGATTATTGTGAGTTAGTCATAAGCACTAATTTCTCTGCTAACTCCCTCCTGTACTTTATTACCTATATTACAACATTAACATAAATACTACTGAAGCCATGCATATTATCAGCAGTAAACTTCTACATGTTTTATTCATAGAAAATAACTTTTTAATGTGATTAATTTTCAGAGCATTGTCTTTAGAACCTGAAGAATCACTGTACATAACAGGAACAGGAAATGGGAAAATCCTAAAGGCGACTTCTTCTGTACTTGAGTCTGATCAAGTGGCCTTGGATGAAGAATCTAGGTATCTAATGTTCTGTTTATTATAGCAGTTTGAGTAGTTGCAAGGAAGTGGCCCTATCTTAGTGTTTTTATTAACTCCGTTTTATTTTGTCATACATCTGAGCAAAGCAGGGAAGGACAATAGATACTCTAGGACAGCAATTCTCAACCTGTGGGTCATGACCCCTTTGGTGGTCGAACGACCCTTTCACAGGGGTTGCTCGATTCATAACAGTAGCAAAATTACAGTGATGAAGTAGCAACGAAAATGATTTTATGGTTGGGAGGGATCTCCACAACATGAGGAACTGTATGAGAGGGTCGCAGCATCAGGAAGGTAAAGAAGCATTGCTCTAGGGTCTCCCTAAAACTGGGTCTTTGGCATCCATAGTTATGTTAGCCATGACTTCCTCTGAAACTAAGTCTGTGTTGGTTGGATGCTGACTCATTCTTTAATTATTTTTTTAAATCTTGGCAAATTACTTAATAGAAACCACCCGACTTGCCTAAAAGGACTGATGAAAAGGTACTATATTTGACAGCTCATGGAATTTTCATTATATATAAATCCAAGGCAAGTGTTACTTCTTTAGTGGTAGAGGTTAAACTGTAATTATGAAAACAAATGGTATGTTGGTAAGTGTAGTTAAAAATGAGATGATGTTTATTGCTAAATAGTAGTTAGGGCTCTGAGAGTTAAAAATATCTCTCCATAGATGTTCCTTGACAGTGATAAGATAATAAAGATTAAATTTTTGCTTGAATGTTGAATACCTGTTCTTGTTAAAAGGTAAAAAGATTTATAAATGTAAAAGCGTATGAAATAAGTATTCCATCCTTTCATTAGATGTGTTTCTTGCTCTCTTCTTTTGTAGAGCTGATAATAAACTGTGCTCAAGTTACAGTGAACCTGAAAATTGTGTGTCGGAGATAGAAGTCGCAGAAGTGGCATACGATGCTGAAGGCGACTGATAGGGCTCAGGCACAGGCACCGCCCTCTATTGTGACATTTCAGGAAATGTAGAAGTGAGTGGCAAATACTTTTTTCAAAAGGACTCTGAAACATTTACAGATGAAAAGCAAGAATGCATGTGTATAAAGTTTACATAAGAAAAAATATGTTATTGGAATAGGAAATATACTGACTGTTGCTTTTTAACCCTTCTTTATCCAGCTTTTGTATTCGATCCAGTCAAACCGTCTCGTTAGAATTCTGCTACCAAGTTCATATTCTTAACTGCTGTACATAAAAGATTATGGTGTTTTGCCAATATATTTTGCTCCAAATTAATGTGTGTCTGTTTTTTAATTAATTTATTTAAATGATCAATTATATTAGTCAAAGAGAAATGAATTGCATGTTTCTATATGGGTGACATATTTCTGTGTATCTCTGACAGGATAGATTTTCATTAATGGTTTAAATTAATGAGCAGCACAGTAAAGATGACAAGTTGAATAGTAAATGTTGACATTTTTACCATTTCTAAATGAAGAGTAGAGGAAATAACCCTCTAATACCAAAGGAAAACTATTTGAAAGAGCTATAATCACAGAGCTAAGTTATAAAAGTAGCCTTGATTTAAAAAGATAATTCATTAATATCAAGGTAATTTATTGTATGCATTATTATACTTCTCTGTCTTCCCTAGAATCTTAATCTTAAATCTTTACCTATAGAATTCGGGAGTTTGCCTTTTCAGAACACTACCTCCTTTTCGAATCAAGGCGTACTCTTGAAGATGTAGGTTCTAAGCAGACGGGAAGCAATTCCAGAACAAAAGCCATATATGCTACAAAGTGCTTCGTTAGGCCGACTCCTCTGGCATTGCCTCTTTATTTCTATATACATGAAGATGTTGCTTCACTAGGCTGACTCCTCTGGCATTGCCTCTTCATTTCTATATATATGAAGATGTTGCTGTAACGTCCTGTGGCTGCCTTGCTTTTTAATATATTTAGTCAAATGATGCACTTTATGATAATTAAACTCTTTTGTGCCAAGTTTAATTGGTGAATTCCTTTAGTAAGTGGACTTAAGAGAAAGAATTATGTAGTGCCTTTAATCTTTCACATTTTACACAATTGCCCTAGGGTCTGTGAGTCAGTTTTATCAAACTGTTTTATGCATATTTCAGCCTTGTCTTTAGTTATTGAAATTGCCTTGTTTTGTTTTTGTAGCATGATGTTACTCATTTTCTATTTCTGCCGTTTTACCTGTTGTTGTTAGTATGCGTTGCAATTATTCTAGCCTTTTGAAATCCCATGTGGTATATTGAACTGCATATGCTTTCTAAAAACTGAGGGAAATAGAAGAAAACAACCTCCAATTGTCTTTTCTTCAGTATGTAAAAAATTATCGGTAATCATTCAAGACTTAACATCCATGATGCGTTCTGTGAAATATGTAATTTGGAAATTGTGCAAACCCCATATCCTATCTGGTCCTATTTTTTCTTGAAGCATCTTGTATAAGCTTCGTGCCTTAGCAGTGATTGTCAATGTGCTCAGAGGGATTCTCTTTTGTGTTTGATCCTCAGTTCATGTCATTAGCAATTTCGCTTCCATATTTGATAATGCTTCCTCTCTTACCTCCCACAGCTTTGTAGCTTTCAGTGGAGCTGATCCTGTAGCCTCTTGGACAATTTTTTCTGTGTTTCTGAGTCTCATTGGGATTGTCAAAGGTGACATACCTATATTATGAGCCATACCAAAATCAAAGAACAGCCCCACTGCTTTCATATTGCTTGGGACTCGTAGTTCGACACTATAGGGCGGGGGAAATTGCTCCCTAGGATTTCCACGTCTGTAAATCTTTACAGGAGCAGACAACTTCATCTTTCTTCCACAAAGCAGCTGGTGGATTTGAACGGCCAACCTTGTGACTAGCAGCCTAATGTGTAACCCAGCATACCACCAGGGCTCCTTAGATTTTCCACCTTTGTCTTGGTTCACGTCCAAATTGATAGCTGTTTTTCCTCTTGCTGCTGCTATCCCTAGGGCTGGTTTTGCTGCATTTGGAAGCCAGGTACTTCACAGTAATAGTTTCAAAAGAAAATCACATCACACTACAATACCCAAGAGCCACACAATATGTGAGATTTGATGCTGCTGCCGCCTATGAGTCCAAGTGTACACTCTTAATATGGCAAGATTTTTAGTTAGGAAGTGCAATACAATAAATACATAAGCCAGTAACATCGCATTAATTATTACTATCAAGACCCATGTGTTATAGGTTGTGTTATATGCTTACCGTACAAATATATGTACAATCACTTGTTATTGAAAAAATAGAAACATGTGTTGCCTGTGGGAAGCTGTGGCATTTGCTATATCCAATGCTCATTTCAAGATTTATGAACTCTATTACAACCTATGGGACCACAGACATACAATGCCCAAATGGATGTTATGGGGCGCGTGACTCTTGATGTACGTATTAAGATCTGGTTGTTTAAAATTCTACTGATGTAGATCAGCATGGCCAGTAGCTGTTGTTAACCTTTTATCTAAGAAGGAAATGATGTTTTATCAAAGTACCAAAAATTTTTTATTCTTTTTCAGAATACACAGATATGCCCTGTCTCAACGTTTTCCACAAATTATATATGAAAGGGCTCCCAAAAGTTCATGGGGAAAAAAATATATTTCAATATCATTTTTCCACAAACTTTTGGAAGGTCCCCTCTTATCTGATAAATATGTTTACTATGTTTGGAGACAAATGTATATAATAAACTGATCTACTTGATAATATAAAAAATACTATTCTAGACCTTGAAAAATGTTTTAAATGAACTGTCATTTAAGTCAATACCATTCTCATTCTAATAAAACAAGATGCTATTTTGCCAGATTCCAGAAAATATATTCTTCTCTCACTGTCTTAAAGTAAACCACATAACTTTTAAAATCTGGCCTTTCAAAAGATGGGATTTGAAGTTTTGGCTGGGGGGAGAATAATTCTATTAGGTAAACCAATTTATAACTAGAATTTTGTTTAGTTTTGAACTTTTGTATTGCATTTTGATCCCAGTATTGCATTCATTTAATAAATTATTTTTTCAGTACAACCCAGGCTATATTTATCAGATAATGGATATTCAATTTCTATGTTCTTCTCCCTCCTGCTATTTTTATGAATTAAGTTATATTTAAGTGCTGGCTGCTTTCACAGATGTGGAATGAATCTGTGGTTTTCTTTTTACATTAAAACATTGTATTACTGAGAAGATTGTCTTTGTCAATAAGTACAGTGCACTTTGAATATAACCAATATTTAAAACAAAAATTAAAAATAACTGAATCATATAAACCCTTTTGTGGATAATCTTTTAGCTTGACATTTTAAGTTTTAAGTTCCCATATAGGTAGTTCAAGCATAAAACAGCATTAGAAATTTCATTTTCATATATTCTTTCTTTATTCAAACTGCATTTTGTCTCTTAAATCCTGTGTGAGATTAGCCACTCAAAACCCATTTAGAAAACCATGTTCGTCAAATAAATAATAAATGTAGTCTAGTACAACTGTCTGTGACGTAAGAAAGGAACAAGTGGCCTACTTCTAAAAACAATATCTGCCTGTGGTTTGAAAGTGGGGTTATCACTAATGAGGATGGAGGAGTTTGGAGGATGTGTTAAAACTAGTGCTTATTCTCAATTAGTTGAAAAAGGAATGGAATATAAAGTTTATCCCCTGGAAGATCTTCAGAGAGCTGCTAGTTGATCCACATTTTGCTGTTCATTGAATTACTATTAATCCACTACACTTAACTGTTAGGCTTTTATATTAGGAAACAAAACAATCATCAAAACATGTATTTTCAACACCCATCTTTTTGAGGCTGTTGGCTACTTTATTACAACACACATACTGTCATGGAGTTGATTCTAACTCATTGCTACTCTTTCTCCCATGGAGTCTTTGGTGGGTTTGAACCACCTTGTCGTTAACAGCACCAACACCTAACCCATAGCACCATCCTTTCTAAGGACCCATGGGAGAAATTTCATTCTCAATACCAATAATTCTCTGCTCCTAAAAATTTGATTTGTTATGCCCTAGAGACCCAGTTATATGTGGAGGCTTCACAAAGTTTGTGGGAAATGAAATTTAAAAATTATTTTCCATAAAATGAATTTTTCATCAGCTTTTTGAAGCCCTCCTGTGCAGGTTGTTTTGCCTTGCAGACACCTTAAAGCCAGACTGTTGGTCACCTCTAGCAACTGCGGTCTCGAACCTTCTGAGTTGTGCTTTGTGTTGTGATACTGGCAGGTTTTTTAATCTCAGCTTCTCAATTTCTACTTCCCCTGTATTTTGTTTGTTTTGTTTTGAATGGTATCTTAGACTCCATTTGGGTGAGAATTTGCACTTGGTCTAACCACTAAGTGATGCCAGTAATTACAAAACTCACTTTCTCATAAAATTTCTTTAAGATCAGGGAATATGAATGCAAGCGTACACATGCTATTTAATGGCAAGATATGGGTAGGGTTTTTTTGCCAGTACATATGACTTTTATTGATAAATGGAAGTGCTTTATTGTAATAGATACTGGTGAAATATAAACTTTAATTATCCTGTTTAATGTTTCCAGACTACCTAATGTATTCAAAAAGGCAATAGGATTACTGAGATGTCCTTGGCTAAATGTGCAATGTAAAGCCCCACCTTGACATTATTGAGCCTGTAACTAGAGGAGTGACTTACTCTGCCACTTAGGGGACCTGCCGGTTCATGCATCTGGTTATCTTGTCCAGCAAACACCAGCCACTGCCCAACCCAACAGGTCATTGCAATGCTCCTCTAAGTTAGAAATAGGAGAAGCTAAATATTTATTTTCTCAACTCTAGGCTTAGATTTAGGACACAGTTATGACTAGTGAGACCGGTGGAAGTCATGGCTTATGAAAAACCTTGCTTTTCTAGAAAGAAGGTCAACATACTGCTGACACAGTCCCTGCATCACGTTTTGGTCTCCGATTTGCTTTCCAGGTGCACAATGGCAACCATCTTGCAAACTCGAGGTGTGACCAGCATGAAAGAAGAGGGGGGGAAAAATCCAAGTGTTTAAAAAGGTTTTTGGTTTGTTTTTTTTAAAGAAAGGAACAGACTACCTCTTGACACTATAAGTTTTGGGCTGGGGGAGTTTGTTTTTTACTAATTGTAACCAAAACCATATTTAATTAATAAGCCAAAATATGTCCATTTGAATTATAAATTATTTTAGCAACAAAAATGTTGGCAAAAACAAAACCAAAGCCTTTCCTGCCTGTAATGATATTGA